TTGATAACTGCTTTTGAAATGTCAATAAATTGACAAGTTTTGTATGAATTGTCTTGATGTTCACTTGATGAAACAAAGACCAGCATTTCGTACTTAATAATCCAATAAGCCCAAACAATAGACACACAAGCTTTAATAGACTTCAAGGCGAAGCAATTTTTCACAAAACTGTGCTACATGTTGCTGCTTTTTAAAAACGATAGAAAATATTACTGAATATCAAAGCTTGATCGCAGCGAGACTCATATAAGGGCAGAAAACAATTGGATGTATTATTAAATTCAAAATACAACCATCGACTGATTAAATTAAAATTTAATACAATTCGTTGGTACTCCCAGTAGATAGCAAGTAAAAACTATATGCAATGAAAATGCCACAAAGTAAACACCAGCACCACACTACAAAACAGAGCAGAGCGTACACGTGAATACAAACTGCAGCAAATTTCAATCTACCGTCATATACCAACAATTCTGCTGTTTTTGTGATCAGTAAAATAAAACCAGGTCATATGAAAATCAATGAGAAAGCATTACAATTAAATAAATAAATAAATAAATAAATTTTGCTGATTCTCAAACGATATCATTTGAAACAACGAGTGTGCGAACACCTTCTGATAGCAACTGCACATAAATAAGGAAAAGGGAAGAAGAAAGAAGGGATATAAGAAAGAGATCAATTTCGGGATGCTAGTTAGTATCATTTATTAATTACTTAACCATGCAATAATTACTTGCCATAAGTAAAACTAGTCAGTTCGATGTCTAACAACCAACAGCAAAAATTTAGCGCCCCAAGATCATCAACTGCGTAATACTTACATTCTGCTAACAATAAGAAAGTGAACGAAATTAAGAAGAATCCAGCTCGAAATACAAATAAACAACTGGACATGCTTTTACCTAAAAAATCACAAACGATCCTGAGAGAAGACAAGCAAAAATGGTAAACAAACGTATAATGACAAGTAAGCTATGCTATGAACAATAATGATCTCTAATTGCTTTCAAATCGTTCATCACTAAAAGGAGATAATGATGATGCCCGTACGCACTCATATGCATTATTCACTTAACTGGATACATTCAGTGATAATGATAATAGTAGTAATAATAATAGTAGTAGTAATAATAATAATAAACAAATAAAAAAATACGCGAGTTGTACAATACAATGATAAATGTATACGAGACCTAACATCTGCATGTAATGTGAGACATTTAGTAGAAGAAACTCACATTAGAAAGAAGACAAATTTACCAAAGAATAAATCTTATTGTATATACTGAAACTGCTAAAAGGAAATATCACAAATCATACCATAAGCTCATCCTTTAAAAAAAAAAACCCTAATGAACCGTAATAAATAGCATCAGATGGCATTCTCGGAATGGTGTTTAACATACAAATAAGCAGTCAGAAGTAGTATCACCCGAAGATGCAAGAAATTATGAGAGAATGAAGTAAATGCTGGAGAGTGCAAGCGCAAAAGTCCATACATCACGGAGCACACAGTAAGTATTTGCTTCATTGCGGAGGAGTACTAAAAGTTTCACGCAACTGCCGTTCAATGTTATAATTCAATGAAGGTACAACCTCCACAATAGCACCAGCCCTTTGCAAGACTGCCGGTGGCGGCTGTCTCGATATCCCTTCATGAAAATGACTAGGTCCGGCACTGCCACCCAAACCAAAAATATTCCCATGGTACTGATCTTGTAGCTGATGACGATGTAAATAAAAATCAGCAGGATTGCTGCTAAGAGAAGCACGATACGTTGAAGGATATCCCGCCCTCTGTAAAAACGCTACATCTACTGCAGCGTGTTGAGCATATCCAACGAATGGTGTTCTATATCCTCGACGGGGCTGCAAGCAAAAAAATCAAAATTAAATTTATAAAACGTAAGAAATAGATTAAAGATGCAGAAATATTCATTTTCAAAATCGAAATGATGTAGAAGATAGTTTACTAGTCAAACAACTCTACGTAGCATTGTTTTATTAGTATAATATTATTATTATATCATGTCCAGCAGTTCGGGGGTTAATCTTCGTGAGAATCAAGAACAAAAAAAACTTCTTGTTCTTGATTCTCACGTTGGATCGTATTCTGGCACTCTCAATGCACTCGCTTGCCATTCAGTTCTGCTGAATCCGGTAGACTGGTCAAGCTTCCTCACATCCTTTATGGAGTTTTTTCTGCAACCTCACACCTGTTTCTTATTTGCTTTCAGTTATGATTTATCCGTTCATCCTCATTTCCTGCTTTTGTGATACGACTCGACTAGTTGGCAGCTCAACCGCTCGGCAGAGCGGAGCAATATATTATTACTATATTAATATTATAAAAATGATTTTACCTTGAATTGAATAATATAATTTTACAATAAGTAAAAAGAGTATCAATTGCATCAGATAATTAATAATACTGAATAAGAGATGTAAAGTCAAACCAAAGTATTTCTAAACGATGCTATATTTTGTTCAAGTAACCCATTGTGAGGAGGGCTACCAGGAAGAGATACAGATGAAGGAAGTATTCCTTGCGAAGTGATTTGGGAATTGGCCAGGGTATTATATGTATTATGTACTAATCCATGTGAACCAGTTCTAGAATTGTCGGAGGAACGAGCCAAATAGTTATCCCCAAAAGCTACCACTGCAATTCCTAAATTTTGATGAGTGCGTCGCAGACGAAAACGGGCTAATTGCAGTTCACGACGCTGACGTTCACGCAGCAGCTCTATTTCAAATCTATGTCTGCAAAATACATACAGAGATATGGCAAACCATGATGTAGAACAGCTTTTACTACATATTAGAAATAGATACTTGCCAAAGAAGTAGTACTCATCAAAAGATCCTTTCAAACTGAAATCATATTTAAAACGGGGCCAATATTAAATTTTCTAATGCACTAAACGAATTGCAAACACGACCCAATACAGTAAAGATGAAGCCTTTATCGTCCTGTGTTAAATCAAAAACTTACCTCTGCATCAAAGTCTGTATTGTTTCATCCTCATCATCATTAAAATCTTCATCAAGCTGAAAAACTCAATAAGTCATATTCGCAATAATGGTGATCGAAAGTGAAAGTGATCATCTTTTCATAGTGACCATATAATATTTTATCACACAATGAAACTTCTGTACGATATGTCCATCTGCGATATATTGACGAAGATCAAAAACAAAATCACAGCTACCCTCCGTAGAGAAAAAAATGAGCGAAAAGATTTCCTTGACATGAGTATCTTCATGGCAAAAGCAATGTAATACTTCGCAGTTCAAAAAATAATAGTCACATAAGTACTATTTGTATCTTTTAACTACTGCTAAATACACTATCCCAATACTATAAAACTGGTCATATAAGTACTAAAGCACAAATATCTTATGATTTTTGAAACTATGTAACTAAATCTTATTACATTACATGATAAACTGCTAATGAATGATTCGTACCTTCATGTTGATAATTTAACAACCTTCTATCGATTACAAAAGTCATATCCAAATTTAAATGAAAAAGAATGATAAAACAAGAAATTAATAATGCGCAAACCATAATATTGAAAAAATCAAGATCATTCCCGGCAAAACCATGCTAACCGATAACAATGCATGCAGTAGAATCCACAACCATGTAAACGTTAACAAAGTTAAAATAACACATAAAATCTTGGTGACAATGAACTCTACATAGATTTAATTGAAACAGACAATAACTAGAAACTAGACTTTACTTGAAGTGACCTAAAAATAATTATTACTTCAACTCATACATCTTCATCTGCTAAGAGATTTGAAACTCGTATGTAATTTATGATTTCACGCTACTAGCCAATTAACATCGTGAGGATTTGATTGTGTGATTTGAAAATATGCATGAAAAAATCTTTCTGAAATATACAAAACACTTGTCAAATATCTATTACATGAATAAAATTTGTGCTCTACAAAAAAGCAAAAGAAATGGAATTTGAGCACATTCTCAAAATTACTTGAGATTGTTTGATTTCCTTAATGAAGGCATGCAATTGTACAGATATCAGCGTAAGCGTAACAATGTTTTGTTTGCAAAACAACTGCACTAAATGGCGGAACCTTAATGGAGATAAAATTGTATCAATCCAATCAGTACACCCTGACAAAAGCAGAAGAACAAACAATCAACAGCTACAAACGTTATTCTTAACTGCCTAATAAAAAAATTACCAAGATAACAGAAACTCATTCTTTCCAATAAGTCTTTAAAATGCAATCGAAATTCCCATTTTTCACATCGTGAGTAACGAAGAATGGTTTCTTATCTTTATGTTATAAAAAATTTAACTTGTATTTCAATTATTTCAAAAAAAAAATTAAAACATCTCTCAAATAAAAATCAAAAATCGGAATTGACACAAAGGAAGAGCTACTAAGGAAAACTTGTGTGGTAAATTGGATGAGTAGGAAGCACTGGATAAGATCTAACTCTCATTATCATTAACGAAAGAATCGCTCATTTTAATATCAGCTCACAACCTGGATGATTACAAAACATTAAAATTACCATTTCTAAAATGGCAAGATTTCAAGTTCATCATCAAATTACATCTTTCTAAGAGTCAAAAACAATATTTTAGTGAAAAGGTTTCATATAAAGATCAAAACAGTACTTCTCACCAATTTTCAAATATAAGTAATAAGCAAATCATAGTGGCAAAATTATGATTTACTCTTCAAATGACATTTCAAAAGCTCCCGAGATTAAATCATCTAATGCACACTGAGGATGAAAGCTGCAATGATTACGCATCCGATAATTTGTCATAAATTATCCATGATTGTAGTAGTTAGTATAAATGAAAAAGAATGTGCGAAAGTGAAATGACTTGAAGGAAAATTTAGATCAAAATCAAGATATTAGTGGTCATGACATGTAAAGCATTTACTGGTAGTTTCATAGAAGTCAGTGAGCGAGCAATGAAAAAGATTGTAGATGTTCAAAGCGCTGTGCAGTGTTCACACGATACTGATACCTTCATGATACGTGTATGAATTTCAATGTGCTAGAGAAACTGTTTGAGAAATGCACATCAATGCAATGTGAAGAGATGGGAAAGCTTTACGTGATTGAAGAGCTAGCGCAAGTGATATGATGTACATGTCGAGTGTTGCCACAGAAAAAAGCTTTTACGAACAAGCAATGCAATTATGATAGTTACACTAAGTTCTGCTTGAATGAATTTTTGATCAAGGTAGAAAAAGAGAAAAACCTGAAAATCATAATCGGAGTTGTTGGATGTTGTTGGACTAAAAATGTGTTCGAGTGGATCACGAACACTGGCCATTTCCGTTTGACTACCAGAATCACTGAAAAGCACTGGTGGAGTACCAACATGAAAGACAGCACTTTGCGGTATAGCCACCGAATCAAGCTCATTGGTGTACTGATGTGCAGAATCAGCCATTTCAGTTGACATGACACACTGCTGTTGTGAGAGATGAATAGCATCCAACGAGGAAACCTGCGTTAAGTTCACTTGATGCGAATTCATGTTTGCAATAGTAATATTATTGATACGGCAACTTTGTTGCGCTGAATGAACGATATGAGGTACCGTTGAGCAACATCCATGTGTACCCAAAGTCGTTGTTAACGCTGATTCCAAATTTTCAAATTTTGCTAAAGGAGCTGAATTGGAATTAGCTGAACATCCTCCATCTGATGTTACCATATTTGGATTACTGCTAACTTGGATAGGTGCAGCAGGAGCAAATGCCAATGTCTCGTCGCTTGCAACAGCATTAGGAGAAGCGATCTCAGAATAAGTTTCATCTTCGGGTCTACCGGTACCTCCTTCTGCTTCACTATTACTGTTTACCAATATTTTCGTTTCTTCTGGTAATTGCATTGTTGTAACACTTGTTGACATAGCTCTCTGCAGTAATATGTTTATTTTGAGCCACAAAAAATTACATATCTTAAATTGTAAAAATCAATATGAACAAATTTTAAAAAAAATTAAAATAGACACAACATTCACAAAATGCAAAAGTTCAAACAAACTCATTTATGATAAGTTCTGATTACTTAATTTTAAACTTCTATCAAATAAAATAATGAAAATGCGCGAAAAAATTTTAAGTCTTTAAATAATGTTCACTTTTCAATATGTTTAAACTAAAATGTAACAGATCGGGTACAAGCAAAAGGAAACACTTATGAATGATAGTGCTGCCACTATACTATACAAAAAGCTTTTTTATAACAGCATCACAAGCAGTTCAAAAACTAAAATAGCTGTTAATGCTTTAAAAATTTTTGGCATCATAACATAATATTTTTTATCAATAATAGAAAAAATAGCGATTTTAGAAAAAAAATTGAAATCAACATCATTCTTGGTTAAAATGACTTTTGTTCATCTGACATAATTTTGAATTACATAAATAGGGAGAATATGTGAATGCAATTGGTGATTGATTTCAAGATTTAAAACATGGATTATGCATTAAGCATTAAAAAATATGCATAAACTAGAGGATTTAAAAAATTACCTCTTTCTAACTGAAACTTTCTAAATTATTCTATACATAATTATGCATGATGCTTCTTGCCACGCAATGCTGATAACAATAGTACTGAGAGAATTAAGAGAAATTTTAGCAAATCAGAATAACAAACCTTATCTACTCCCGAAGCAGTATCTTGCGAGCATGTAATACTTGTAGTATGAGGCACGCCCCCTCCACTTGGTGATTGACGGTCCGTGGAAACAGGTGCAGTTTGACCGGAACTATCAACACCTATTGGTGGTACAGAACCAGTTTCACGTGGTTCAACATGAATTACCTGAAATAGAGAAATTAATTGGCAAAATCACTAGTTTATATTTAATTATTGGAGAAATTGAGCGGGAAACAAAAGACAACTTTTTGTAGGGCATCAGCAAGTTCATTCAGAGTATCCACATGTAGTATTTCTGCTTCCGGCGTAGCACTAGTTTTCCCGGGTGTTATCGTTTCAGATACAATACTAGACATTGAAGCTGTAGCTACTGGAAGTGTTGATTCAACTAGCAGATCTGGCGTAGGCGTGGCTACCGGAGATTGCTCTATTTGCGTTGCTGGAGTCATGGTTTCGTTATCCTGCTGAATGATCTCTTCCAATTGTTCACCCTGCATTTTTTGGCTTAGCGCCAGTAGCTTGTCATTCAAGCCTGCTAAATTGTGCGTCAAATTACCATATACAGACGGCGTTTGCGGTAAAGATGGACATGACGATAAGCCTTCAAAAAAACATCAGAAAAATAGTAAAAATTATTGAAAGCAAAAACAAGAATCATAGTTTCAAATGCAGTTGCATACATTTGAAACCGAGACAGAAAGCTGCTTCCCAAAATTGTTCTTCCTTCCAATGAATAACACATTACTGGCGTTATGTCATCAATAATTGCTAATCAAACCAAGAAATGATATCTGCTTAAACTAATCAAATAACTTTTAATGAAAAAATGCTACTACTCCTGCCAAAACTAATCAGTGATGTAAAAATTTTCCAAAAAATAAAAAGCAAATAATCATCTACCTGTTGCAGTGGTTTGAGGATCCGGTGATTGGACAGATCCTGATTTCGCAAGATTCGAGACATTATTCGGCATATTTACACCGCTGACTTTACGAAGTTCGGTTTCCAGCTTTCTAAGTGTTGTTTGTCGTTCTACGCTGGTTTCAGATGAACTCATATTATTGAGCGATGTTGAAGATACACAATTACTGTCAAGAACCGCGACTGGGGAATTGTTTCTTACCTTTAATATGTGTACACACTATTAAAATTTGAAACAACCTAAAATAGCAAACTAGAAAATAGATAGAAATAAAGGCTTGTTACAAAAAACAACTGTTATTATTACTTCAGATTTAAATTTATTCCTTAAATACTCATACTTACAGAAGTCACAGACTGCTGAGTTGATGCCAGTGTGGCTGGAGATGACTGAAAATCAGACTCAGAAATACAGGACTCGGAAATGCAAGACTCGGAAATACACGACTCGGAAACACAAGACTCAGGAGCAACCGGACCAGGAACTTGTGATTCACTGATTAAGTCATCTATGCAACTAATGGTTTCATTACTAGGAACTGAAGATGATGGCACTGGCTGCACCTAAAATCAATCAAAACATTAATATTATGATATGCACGAAAAATTTGCATCAAGATAATTTCAACGCCATTTGCATGATAAGAATACATTACATTGCACTCTGAGTTTTTTAACTTTTTGTCAGTGGTAACTATAGTTTCTTATAATCCCTTAAACATGATAATGAAACCTTGAAACGACTAATTACTGTTGCTGATTCTGATGATTTAATCGATGAAGATGACACAGAAGGTGTAACTTGAGTAGTACTTTTAGCGGTTTGGGGTGATATCGCTGATGAGGAGGGAGAAGCCGTTTGCGATGCAAGAGATTGTGAGGACAAACTTGTGGTGGCTGTTAATTTCTAAAATTTGGCTATAAACACTACGTTTATTATTAAAGAAATATCTCATGCATATTCATATCTCCACTTCAGATGGTATCAGTCAAGCACTAAAAAAGTACAAAAAACAATGAATAAAACAAGTGTAAAGATGTAAAACTCCTTTTTGGGCATTATTATAAAAACTGCTTTTACAATTTGCACTCCTACATTGAGATATAGAAAAAGTAAAGCAATTTTTAATTTATTGAAAGTAGAAAAGAAAATAATAGAAAGACTTACGCTGTGGGAATCAGAGTTAACTGATGGGCATGTAACAGACGAAGTATACACATCAGCAGGTAACGTTGATTTAGTAACCAAAAATCGCGATGTCTTAGCCGCTGGTGAGACTGTAGTATTATTTGCATTTGCTACGGTTTCAGAAATAGATGATTGCGAAACAAGTGAAGTAGAGGATTCTGCAGGTTGCGCTGACCCAGTTGAGTCCTGTGAAACCGAAACAGATGACTTTGTTTCACTTGGGCTAATGGATGATAATATAATAGTATCAGACACCTGAAAATAATATATGTACCAGAAAAAAGAACAAAAATTCTTCACTGAATCTCCTTTTTCTCTCTCTCTCTTTATATATATAATATGAATATGAAGCACCCACCGATTGTGAATCTACCGACATTGTTGTTAAGTGATCATCTGAAATTGTCTCGGTCAAAGGAGGAGACTGAACATTCAGCGTATCTGGAGTGACTGACACAGCCAATGCTTTAGTTTCTTGTGAAGCATCTGATGTAATTAGAGTTGCAATAGACTGCGGTATATTCGCCTCGGTTCCCGTATGCGCACATGCCGGATCCACAAAACTTATGATTTTTGCGCCAACTGCCTTTACTGGATCAGCAACTAACATCTGCAAAAAATTTAATATCTATACCTTATTTGCCAATATTTGAAGGGTTACATAAAATCGAGCAAGACCTGGGATGCTAAACAGCTCTAATATCATTTAGATATCTTTAAGAAGCAAAAAAAAGCAACGGTCGTAACTCACGAATCTATGGTAAGCCGCCAACTACCCATAAAACTTAGATGAATGAAGAGATCTTCGTATCTTTTTATTCATTCATGTCTGTAGCTATGTGGATATGGGATTAAGACAATTCTAACCTCGATGATTTTTTCGAGTTGATCACCAACAATTCCTACTTGTGGATTCGTCAAGCAATCTTGATCCAGCTGTAACAGAAGGTAACCATTAAAGGCGAATTGAAAATTGAAGCAGATAATAATTTTCATTTTAGCATTGCATATGAGCATTCAGACATACAGATAAACTTATACAACAGATCAACTAAGATAAACAACTTCAATTTTATTTATCACGTGTTAAAATCATTTCTTGCATTCAAAAAATCTGTTTTCTGTTTCATACTAGTTTACTTCTTTAATTTATGCAAAATACATTCCTAATAATTAGCAAGTCACAAGAAACATACATAACTAAGTAAATAATTCATGATATCAATCAGAACTAAACTTAAATACTTCAATTTATTTAATTATAAAAACGAAAGTTGAGAAACGCACCAATTTTTTAGTGATTACTGATGGCTTATCAGAATCTGGAGCAAACTGAAATGTGACCGTTTTATGTGATGTATCCAAACGGCAGCTGACCAACTGAAAAAATTAACTTCAAATTAGTACAAGAAATAGTAAAACTATTTCGAAGAAATATTTGCTCTTGCAATATCAAAGAGATTAATCATTAAATCTTGTAATCAATTTCACTTAAGTCCAAAATAACTGGAATAAAACTTAATTTACCAAAATTATCTAATTTTTTCATTATTTCAAAAAATGAAAAAAAAGAAAAAATTTGAGAGCAGTCGCAAGAAAAATCAAAATATTCAAATCGGCTGTCTTGAATATGCCAAAAATTACTGGTTGCTGATTAAGTTCATCCGTCACTACATGTAGAACTTCAATGACGACTTTCTTCTTTGATTTTTTATGCTTAACAGGTCCATCATAATAATCTTCATTGTCTGGTGATACTACGATTCGCTGTTGCTGTTGTAATTGTGGCGGTTGCTGAGAGTGTAGTTGCTGCTCTTGTTGTTCGATAGTTGTGGCTGTTGAGCGTTCCTAAACAAAAGGAAAATATAATTTCCAATAACTATTTTTAACTCAACCAATTTAACATCATGAATACAGTGTAAATATTTTTTATATAATCGAAAACTTATGCACTAACATATATAATCTTTTTTCTTCACCAATAATCCTCACATTTACAAGTTGGTAATCATTAATCCATCTTATTATTCTTAAATCAAAACTGTTCCAAATAACGAAAACTAAACTATACATCAATTATAAAGTTTAAGTCAATGTTTAGATAAAATGAAAAGTGCTGAACGAGCAGATTTAAAAATTTTACTATGCGTTCTTTTTCTTTCGCTCTTAGCATCATTTCATTACGAATAGCTTCTTCTTCCTGCTTTCGTTGTTCTTCCTCCCGTAAACGCTTCAATTCTGCATGACGAAATTCACGATCACGTTTAAAAGCTTCAACCTAAAATTAGTATGAATTACTTTATATTTTAAGAAATCACTCTCCGTTCCGCAAAGCACTCCATCACGTTAATTTAAAGATCCATTACACTAACATACCTTATCTTTAATCAGTTTGGTAATCATACGAGTATCCTCTTCGGGAATATGTTGTTGTTCAATCATTTGTTGTACTACCTCTTCTGCTTTATCAGACTCAATATCGAAAGCAAATTGCAAACCCTCGTTTTCTTTAAAACGATACTGCTTTCTCTTTTTTTCATCAAACACTCTCAGTTGCATTTGAATCTGGAAAATATGAACTTATGTGAAAGCATATAAAATAGAAAATTGGGCCAACAACAATCAATTACAGACTAAATTACTTCAGAATTAATATCGCTAAGATCTGCATCTCGATTTTTAATTTCAACCCGTATACCGATGAGCTCCTCTGGCGTAAAAAAATCATCTGATAATAACTGTTTCACAGTTGCTCTGAAAATATTGTAGTGAAAAACAAACAAACAGAAAATGAATTACAGGTTTTAAAGGAACTCAAAAAAGGGATAGAACGCCTGATAATCAGAAATTCAAAAGAATGAAATGGTTCTGACCTTTCTTCACGCCGTACCCGTATGCATCGGTCAATGATTTCTCGGATTTCGGGGTACTGCTGAGGAATTTTGGTAAAGCATTCCGGCTTTACACCCTATGCAAACAAAATTCACAGATTTACATACAAACTTGTCTCAAAACTAGAATTTGCAAACCCATGACTAAAAATTTTGAAAATTAAGATAGGTTTTTAACTGAAGCATAGAAACAACAGAATTCTTTAATTACCTGTTGTTACATAACAATAACTTGGAATATTTAAAAAGCGTACGGTAGTAACTTTTCGATAAATCTGTGCAGGAAACAGGCACTCGCTATAAGGATATTCGCCAGTTACCATCTCCAATAAACACATTCCAAAAGCGTACACGTCAACGCTTTCATCATACATTTCTTCATACATTTCAGGAGCCATAAATTCTGGTGTTCCTAAACAAATTATAGTGAAAAGTTAGAAAAAAGTTATGCCCTAGAAGTCTAATAATGCAAAGCTATAAAAGATGCTGAGTATAAAAATAAACTAAATTACAACAATTACTTACCAATAACGCTTTTAGCGTACGATTTATTTTTCAAAGTTGCTAATCCCAAATCCCCAATTTTAACACTTCCTGTTGTGCCTGTGATAAATATATTATCACATTTGAGATCTCTGTGAATTACCGGTGGGTTACGAGAATGAAGGAAAGAAAGACCCTTCAATATTTGTCGACACCATGACTTCAGTACCTTGAATAATAAAAAATTTATTCACTTCCGTTTTTTTTTTTTGATTAAAATTATAGCCAGCTTTACATTACATTATAATATAATATGCTAAAAAGCTAAGTACCTCCTCTCTCTTAATTATTAAAGATTAACAGGTAGCACCATAATATAAAAAACATGACTCAATAACAATGCAAAACATAATTATACCTTTATGTTAATTCGTTTGAATCGCTTCAAATACATTTTCAAGGTTCCGGATGTCATCAACTCTGTTACCAATACAATGTACCTATAACGTCAACACCTAGTACTTTAAATAACTTACAGAAAAAATCTCAGAAAAAACTATCACACACTTTTGTGTAAAATAAAATAACAAATTTAAAAACTTCGACAACCTTTTCTTTCCAGAACTATCTTGTCTTTCCCAATAATCATAAAACCGTACAATATTGGGATGTTGCAAGCCCTTGAGCATTTCTGCTTCTTCTCGAAAGCGTTGTCTTTCTGTCTAAATAATGTATGAGAATTATGACTTCACAAAGTAAAATCATACAATCAAACCATTACATAGAGGATTGAATAGTCAAAGAATTTTGAAAATAACAACATGAAAAAAGTGAAACAAGAAAATTTTTTTCTAACTAATTATTTTTCTAACATTTTAGAATCAATAATATAGATTATATGGGAGAATTTCGTAAAAAATGATCAGTAATTTTATTAACTATTAATCTCTTACTATTATGTTCGCGAAATCTGAATGAAAAAAAGTGAAAAATAAAATAAGCTATCCATTCAACACAACTCTGATAAATGAAATACAACGGTAAAAAAAGTATACTTTGAATCTGAAGCACTAAATGAATGCTTCAGATTATAAATCATGCATGTAAACATACGAATACTATGATGCATACCGAACTAACTTCTTAAAATAGTTCAAATCAAATATTTCTGCGCAATATTACAAGCAAATCAGCAAAACTAACTTTATTTAACTTGCTTTCTTGAAGTTCACACCAAGCAACTGCTACACCAGTTTCTGTATCTAAACCTCGGTAAACAGTTTTGAACGATCCACGTCCCAGTTCTTCATCAAATTTCAGAAATCGTCCGTCTCAAATAAAAAAAAATACACATCAGTTTCCGAAATACTGAACTAGCGGAAAAACGTTGCATAAATTATATTACAACAAAAAAATAATTCAAAAAGCAAAAACTATAAATTTGAACGATGAAAGTTGCAAAAATGACGCAATGAAATTTGAATATAGGAATAGGAAATAAGAAATATAGGAATTCGAAAATAGGTAATCATCTTTACCAGGTGATTTATCAATTGGCTTTTCTTCTTCTGCATCAACATCATCATCTACAATTTCAATTTCCCGTTGTCTTTCTTCTGCTTGAATTAGTTCTACCTTAAAGTTCAACTTTGAATCAAATAGAATATTTTTAATTAAACAGATAGTTTTGAATAAGCTGCATCTCCATTTTTCTGTAAATTTTAGAATTTATTCATTTCCTTCTCTTGTAATAAGACAAGCATAAATTGGAAAAAACGCACATAATCTCATCATTTTTTTCAATTTCAAATAAGCCAATTAATTTTTGCTATTTATTAAACACAAATATCTTAATTCAAAAAATGAGTTATATCAATGCATTGTAATTAGGTAAAAACTTGAAAGATTTGATTCAGTGACAAAAGCTTCTAATACCGATAGCTTTCATAGAATGGAACCAGTTTCTTGGCGACTAATGAAGACATTGTCATTTGCATGTATAAACTGTAGAAACGTTAGGAATATAAGATAATTGCGATGCATATTTGTGCAATGTTAAATAAATATAATTAATTACACAAGTTTCTAAAAATGGACCTCATCTTTTTTCTCTATTTCATCGAGTGATGATAGCAATGAAATAGCTGGAACAGTCGTACTGTCTATATATCTTCCCTTCTCATCTTCTTCAATTACAGTTTCATGCGCTTTTCTTTTTTTAACACTTGCTCGCGATGCAGAAAATGAAACTGAAGGCGATGCTGGTATTCTACAAAAATAATCTTACCTATTAAAATATGATGTAAATATTCTATTTTTAAATTACCCTTATTTGATACTATAATTTTGTTTAACCAATTCACGTTCTCTAACACTTTGAAATCAACAACGAATGCTGGACAACATTAATTAAACGTAATCAAAAATATTTGAGAAAATTTCACTACTATTATATATATGCATATAATATAATAAAAAGTAATAATATTTGCTTAGTCCATTGCGAGAATAAAAATTTTAAAAAGATTCCTATACTAAATCTCAATACAAAATTGACACAAATTTCTGAGATAACACGCACTTTAATATAGCATGACACAATGATTATTCACATATTCATATAATTTCAGAAAATGATACTTCTGTATTTTACGCAATCATAAGCATCAGAAAAATATATAGTTTCTAGGAAACATAAATTTAATTCATTACTCATCAAAAACTTTAACCATAAAATCTGAATTTAAATTAAATAAAAATTCTGAATGAAATCTGAAAACTCAAAAAAAATTTATGTCATTGTACTTTCATTCCTTAGTTTTTTTTCTCATTAAAATCATGTTTTCTTTCAAATTCTGCTTAAAGTCATAAATTACAATTTCTTTAGTTCCAAATAGCTTCCAAAGTTCAAATGTCGCCAATTTTTAGAAATACTTTAAATTAACGGGCAGTTCTATGCATCTACCTATTTATTGATATAAAAGCATTCTTAAAAGCTGAAAGATTTTCCAAAAATTTGATTGAATATTTTTAATATCTTTTACTTAGGTCAAATTCTGTAAAATTAAAAGGTGCATTTCTTAAAAATAGTTAAACTTTAAAGAATGTTTGACTCATAATTTATTAATTAGCTTACACTTTGCTTAAGTAGTTAAAATGAAATCAACTGACTACTTTATGTAGGAAAAAATTAGCAAAAACTTGACTAAGATAAATTACAAGCAAGTATTTAAAGCAAGCTGAACTTCCTACCTTTGTCAATATTCTTATGCATAGATAAAAGTAATTATGAAATATTGAACATGCATTCAAATGAAATATTCATGTGAATTATTGTAAACACTAATTAATTACCAAGTTCAGAAATGTACGATATAAATACTTATTACTTGCTAACAGTAATAATCAAAATTTTTTGTCTTATTTTACCACAAAATTTTTCAATATTTTATACTTAAGTTAACTAGAAACTTTCATTTCAATACGAAAATTACTCATTATCTATTATATTATTGTTTGTTCTATTTATACATCACATAACGATTTAAAACTAAATTGGTTCACACTTCACATTCATCAATATGAATAAAATTAAAAATTAATAAGCTCAATATGCTAGTGCATTAAAAACAAAACTGTTCACAACTAAACAAAATGAGTTTGTTGAATAGAAGTCAGATTTATCGTTTACTTTGCTTATGCTATATTTCTTTTTTTTTTAATAAGTAATTTCAACTGCTTTGGCTACAGCATTTGCCCTAAAGAAAAGTATAATAAAAAAAAATGATATTTATATGCTTTCAAACTGTACACAAATTGTAGTATGCTCTTGCTATTTTTCATGAGAAAAATGAGAGGAATTTGCAGATAATCAATTTTGTTTAAAAAAGAAACATATCTTTCCTTTCTCAAAGTATTCTGATCTTTATGCATCAATGATATTTTTTGATGAAAAGATATAATTTTTCACACTACCATCTTCTGTCAGTAAATCATTAACATTCAACAATTTGATAAATGCAGTAAATATATCAATTCATATCAATTCCCAGTACAAGATTTAAGAATAATTAATTTATCGTTTCAGCAAAACATGAAAAATTAGTCTAATAAGTTGTAAAAATATGATTTTTTTTTCAAAGAATAAAGGAAAAAAAAAAAACCAAACAAAAACCAGTGTATGAAAGTCATCCAAGTATAATACTGAAAAAACTTAAAACCTGTTTCTTTCAAATAACGTTTGCTGATGTGCAGTAGCATCATTACGTACGACAGTCACTGACAGCTTTGATGTTTTGTCCACTGACGGCTGTCGATAACGACTCCATGGCTGTAGGAATATAAACTATGCAAGACTGATAAATACAAAATATAATCCACAAAATTTTTAAGACAAGAATATATATATATATATATATATATATATATATATATATATA